TTATAAATTTTTTTAAAAATATATCTTTGACTTCAGAGAGAGGAAGGGAGAGGGAGAGAGAGAGACAGAAATATCAATGATGAGAGAGTCACTGATTGGCTGCAGCTGGCAACCCGGGCATGGGCCCTGACTGGGAATTGAACCCTGATCTCCTGGATCCTAGGTCGATGCTCAACCGCTGAGCCACACCTGGCTGGGCTCAAATTATAAATCGGAAGCCTATTAGTGGATGGTGAAATTAATTCAGTAAGTCACAACCATCATTCCTAAAATGAATAAGAATAGGAGGGGATGGAAAATAAGGCATTGCACTCTGCAAATCTTTTCATGAACCTTCATACACATACACACACTCACTGTTCATAACGTAAAATGTATTTTTAACTGTGGACTATGAACAAATTAACTTTAAAATCATTAATCTACACTGTATTATAATCACTTTTAGTCTTGTTTTTTAAACGAGATTTCAATCTACCTTTATTTTAAAACAAAGAAATGGAAAACGTTGACAGCTAATGAAAATACTCCATTATAATGCTCTTTAAAATACCACCACCATCATGCATGAACAGTGTTCACTCCTACGTTAGTGAAACCTAACCACTATCTGCTTTCTTACAATCAGCTCCGTAATATTTGAGCCAGAGAGACAAGTAACAACACAGAAAACAGAACAGAATTCAAAGCCACCTAAATAATTTTACAATATGGAATATTATGCTTTTTAGGGTGATATTTTAAATTTTATATGACTTTCACTAATATTTAAATCTCTGGTCTAAAGAGACACCTGAGCAGAAGGACCCATCCTGGAAGCATTTTGGAGTGGCAGAGGAAGCCAGTTTGGAAATAAAAACTTATATAATGCACAAACTAAAAAATATATATGCAGTTGATAAATATATATCAGTAGCTTTCTTCCACTGGCCCTCCCTCATACACTTTACAAGGGGTGCCGCACACCTTGCAGGATGGAAAATACGGGCAAGAAGTTAAAACTCTGATGTTCTTTTACTAAAAGCCCAAATTTAGCCCAATTTTTCTTTTAACTTAGCCAGGTTCTATATCTACTGCTTTGGATGCTTACCCTACTGTTTACTTACATAAAATAATCAAGAACAAAAACTTCTGTGGAAAGTAAGTTCCATTTATACCCACTTCATGGTAAAATTTCACTTCCCAAAAGTTATAAAGATCAGGTTCATAAGCCACCCATCTGTGTTTTTAAAACCACCATTACCATCCATTCTGGATATAAAACAGAATGAGTCTTAATATACTGATATTTAAAGACAGAAAAGATATTTGTTAAAATACACATAAGCAATATATAAGTGTGCTTGTGTGTGTGTGTGTCTGAAAATAAGCTTGAGAAATAAATGACTGTGGTTATCTTTTTTTGACGGGTGAGGGGGTGGGACGAGTACAAGTGAAAGTGGTGAAAGGAAGACTTTTCACCATATATCTCTTCCTACTTTGATATTTTAACTATTACCCATTTTGGCAAATTAACGGTTCTCATTCTGTTTCCCCCTCCTGAACTACCTTGCTTCCTCATACTATTCCACAGTGTGTGTGTGTGTATCCATGTGCATGCACAATCACCCAGAAGTAATTTCTGGCAGGAATGCTTTCGCTTTCTTTGACAAAGACTTTCTCCTGTTCTTGCAAAACTGAACCAACACTATTAGCACCCACACGGCCAGCACACATAAATGCCGCCTGTCTCTGCAGGATGCCACAACCCAGGGTCACTTCCACAGCCCCTCCTCAGCGCTCCATCATACTGGGAATGTAGGCGGTACAGACATTTGCTGAGCGCCTGCTTCAAGCCAGGCGCTGCTCCGGAGCATGGGACACAAAGGTAAACAGGACAAGATACTTGCCTAATGGGAGCTCACAGCCTCAAAGAGGAGACAGAAGAGGAAATGGGTAATTTCCAAATAATACGGTACATGCAATGGCAAAAGTATAGTCTACGTAATCTACCACATTGCATTTTAATGATTTTCCCTCCCTTTTCCCACATCTCTCAGAGGTGAGATCCTCTGACATAGGCCCATAGTTAGTGGGCCTGTAGTTATCTTTGGATCTCCTGTGCCAAGTACGATGCCTGTATGAGGTGAACCTCATAAATATCTCCTGCATAGTAATACAACTGTATTTTAAGAAACAAATGCATATGTCTTAATATTTCAAAAACAGTAGAGGTATATATACATCTACTGGACCTTTGTCGTATATTATAATCTTAGAATATCAGGACCAAAGTAAATATCTTTAACTTCAGAAGCCCTGTGACCTTTCAGTCCTCACCATGTAGTCTTGGCTTTGATTCCATAAAGGGGAAAAATTATGAAAGCTAAGCCTGTCTGTTTCTTTTCCTGGAAATCAATGTACTCTCACTTGTTTTACTGGTAGGACTGAAAACTTTCACCCAGTAACTTAAAATTTCTATTCATGGTTAATACATTAATAATTTCTTACAATTTTCAGGAAAATGGTACTTCTCAATTTGATACAGGTGTGCCAATATTAATTGAAGGACTTCTTACACTTCAAATCTTGGATTTCTAGGCAAGAAAAATTATATTCTTGCCTTTCCCTGAGCTCTATCCCAAAACAAATGATAGAAATAAATTGTAAACATAACATGAAGCACTGTCACAATTAATCAACTCAAAGCCCAAGGGAGGAACTGTTTCTATTTTTAAATGCACTGTTGCTTTAAAGGAAAACCTGGTGGAGAAACATGAAACCAAGCTGCATAATGAAAATCAAAACGCATTTGGTGTCTCCATCCTTGCAATACAGTAATCCTAACCTACAAGCAACATTGTTGTACTGACCCCTCTCAGCTGGACTGTAAACTAAATGACTGGTACCCAGGCAGAGCCCCATAGAAAGGGCCTATCTACCACTAAAAGAATCAGATCTGTCAGAAGGACAGAACAAGAGAACACCCGTATTTCAATGCTATTCTTGTAGCTTCAGAGAAGGGGCTATTCCAATAAGTAAGCAGATGGATAAATCCCAAAAGCATCCTACAAATTTTTACTTAAAAGATCCTGATTAGTAATGGCAGTGCCACTGATGCCCTAAAAATGATCAAATGATAATTTAGCATTTCTAATCTACTGTCTATAGTTGTAATTTCTACCCAAATTCCACAAATAAATGTTTCTCCCCTCAAATGACAAAACTTCATTTCAATAAATAGTAGCTAACAGTAGCATTCCTTATGGTCAAGAGTGACAAGGAACAGGTGCCAAACCAGCAAGGAAAAGAGAAGCAGCAGCTACATAACAGGAGTTAGAATATTCTACCTGTTTCCCAGACTGCTTTGAAGAATCTGGCCCACCAGAAATTTTTTCTGAAACAATATAAAAATATCCAGCT